TGTTGCCTGCCACTTCAACGCACCACCCTGCTCCCTGGCCAACATCTCCATCTCCGGCTTGCTACAGTGTTTCAGTGAAGCCCAGCGCAAGCTGGAGGAACAACACCTCATTTTCCGCTTGGGGACTCTACAGCCCTCTGGACTCAATATTGAGTTCAATAATTTTAGGGCCTAAACTCTCCCATGTCCCAGCCCACCACCCCACACACTAGGCCTTGTTACCACATAGCCTGCCACTACACACCCTCTGTTGTTAGTCACTAACAGTCCCCATTAACAACTATTCACCCTCCCAGCCTGATCGTTAGCAACGCCTTTGTCTGTCCAACTGTCTTTCTCTCTCTTTGGGCTCTATCCTATCGTTTACTCCCTACCCCACCCACGTCCCTATTTTCTGCATATAAACTGACGTTTTCCCAGCCACCATCAGTTCTGAAGAAGGGTCACCGGACCCGAAATATTAACTCTGTTTTCTCGTCCACAGATGCTGCCAGACCTGCCAAGCTTTTCCAGCAACTTTGTTTTTGTTATTGGCAAGAAGCTGTTGCTTGGTGTCATCTTTAATGATTGATTGTTTCAATACTTCTGATGACTAGGGGTTGCTAGTAGCACAATAATTAGCTGAGTTATATTTTTTGACTTTTCTGGTCATATCTAGGCATTTTGCATATCACTGGAAAGATACCAAGTGGATTTGGCCCCAGTGTTTTTGGTCAAAGTAGCATGCAGACATTTCACACTTAGGTCTTGCACTTGTGCTGGTCTGCAGCATACTCTGACATGTCCATGGATTGCCTTCTCCCATCCAGTATCTAATTGCTCTCATTCATGAGTGATGTGGTTAGATATGAAGCTTTGTTCTGATACAAAGCTTTGTTCTGATACAATAGTTTGGAACTATGTAGCCCTATCTCATAATCGTAGAACTGTTACAATGCAGAAGATGGACATTTGGTTTATCATGCTTACACTAGTTCCTCATCCCTGGATCCACTCTACAGTCTTCTTTTTAAAATTTGTTCCTTAGATGTGAATGTTGCTCACAAATGCTCTATAATTATCCTTGAGATGTTGGTGATGGTGGTGAGCCATCTATATTAATTGTTAGAACTCTAATGCCTGCAGGGAAGGATACAGGTGACATTGAAGGAACGGTGATATAGTTCCTTCCAGAAGACTTGGGAACAGAAGTAGGCCATTTATCCTCTTCAGTTTGCTTTGCCATTCTATGAGATCATGGCTGACCAGATAATCCTGAAATCCACTTTTAATGCCTTGTCTGCTTTCCCTTACTGGTTAAAAAAATCAGTCTATCTCAGCCATGAATATACTCAACAGCCTTCTGCGGTAAATAATTCCACAGATTCATTACACTCTAAAAGAAAAGACTCCTCTTCATCTCCGTTTAGAATGAGTGAACCTTTATTCTGAGACTATGCCCTTGCTAAGTGAGTGCTGCTTGATAGCACGGTTCATCACTTTACTGATGATTTAGAATAGACTGATGGGGTGGTAATTGGCCAGGTTAGATTTGTCCTGCTTTTTGTGTACAAGACATACCTGTCAATATTCCACATTGTAGATGCCAATGTTGTAGCTGTACTGGAATAGCTAGGCTTAGGGTGTGGTAAGTTCTGGAGCACATGTCTTCTATACTATTGCAATAATATTGTTAGGTTCCCACTGTCTTTGCAGTATCCAATTCCGATAATTGTTTCTTGATGTCATGTGGAGTGAATGATCTGATGAAGACTGACATCTGTGATTGTGGCGACCTCTGGAGGAGGTCAAGATGGATCATCCACTCGGCACTTGTCTGGAGATTGCTGCAAATGCCTGATTCTTACCTTCTGCCTCCTATATTTTCCCTTATCCCATATGGTTAGCTTTTCCCATTAACCTCTGACTTGGACCTTATCAAAAGTCTTCTGAAAATCCAAGTACATCCCATCCACTGGTTCTCCCTTATCTATTCTACTAGTTACATCCTGAGAAAACGCCAGTAGATTTGTTGAGCGTGATTTGCTTTTCATAAACCTAATTAGACTTTGCCCAATTCTGTTAATGCTTTCCAAATTTTCTGCTATCATGTATTTTACAATAGACTGTGTAATTTCCCCATTAGTAACAGAATAGAATCCCTACAGTACGGAAACAGGCCATTCAGCCCAACAATCCCTCTACCCATCCCCCTATCCTATCCCTGTAACCCTGTATTTCCCATGGTTAATGCACCTAACCTGAACACTATGGATAATTTAGTATGGCCAATCTACCGAACCTGCACATCTTTGGACTGTGGGAAGAAACTGGAGCCGGTTTGTTAAATGTTTTTAAAAAAGTCTTTATAAATTAAATGAACAAGAAACCATATCTTCCTAGTACAACAATATACAACACTTAATGAGATATTAAAGTGCAAAAGAATAACTTCTTGCTTGTACCTAACTGAATTGTTTAAAGACAACTGTACTGCTTACATAACAGCTGCACTAGATTATTTCAGACAAGGCTTTTTAAAGGTCCAGAATTTATCTGAGGTAGAACACCACCTCTAATGCTCTGTTATCAGCTATTGCAGCTAGCCTGTTTGTTCTCCTGAGTTAGAATGTCTTTATTACACAGAACTAGCAATCACAGCAATTGGAAAACCCTGTAATTCACAACCACAAAAATCAGAGTGTGAAGTCAGTGTTATGACTGAAACTACCAGCTGCTTTCTATAGAAATGTGATTTCATTTCAGTGTGGTACATAACCACTTTACGTTGGTCTTTACTCAATGAATTCTCTCTAAGTTGTATGTTGTGACTTCATTTTTCTGGTTTGAAAATCTGATAGGCATGCCCAGACTCGCAACCTTCCATGGTGCATTCTTTATTGTAATATTGTAATTGATTTATTAATATTTGATTTGTGAAATAAATTTTACTTCAGTCAAGCATTTTGTTGAGTCTTAGTGTATAAATACTTGAAGAATGCTGCATATCTTTTGCTAACTAAATCCAACACATATCATTCTGTACATGCATTCCCTTAGGACAGCGGTGTCCAACCTTTGAACAATGTGGCAGGAGGTCAGGGACCGATAAGCATATCTATACCAGTGAATGGATTGCGTACAATTACACAATAGGTGCACAATTTATGGCTTTCTTGTTCCCTTAATTTCCTTTAAGTATGCTTTATCTGGAGATCTGATAGCGAGGTGATTGCTAATAGGTATGAAAATACTGCCCCCCACCTAGTGGGTGCAAATCCATCCGTCCTGGAGTAGCCTTTTATCAGTCATAGAGTCCTACAGCACGGAAACAGTCTCTTCAACCCAAACTGGTTCATGCCGACCAAAATGTCCATCCACGCTAACTCTATTTCCCTGCACTTGGCCTATAGCCTTCTAAGCCTTTCCTATCCATGTATTTTTCCAAATGCCTTTTAAGTGTTGTTAACATACCCACCTCTCAACCACTTACGCTGGCAGCTCATTTCATATGTGTATCACCCTCTGTGTAAAAATACTGTCCCTAAGGCTCCCATTTACTTTTTCCCCCCTTACCTTATACTGATGCCTTCTTGTCCTCAATTCCCCAATCCTGGGAAAAAGACTGAGTGCATTCACCCTATCCATGCCTCTCATGATCTTATACACTTCTTTAAAATCCCTCTAAGTCTCCTATGCTCTAAAGAAAAAAGTCCTAGCTTGTCCAACCTCTCCGTATAACTCATTCCCTTGAGTCCTGGCAACATCCTTGTAAATTTCTTCTGCACTCTTTCCAGTTTAATAACATCCTTCTTATAGCAAGATGACCAAAACTGCATGCAATACTCCAAGCGCGGCCTCACCAATGTCCTGTACAACTGCAACATAACTTCCCAACTTCTTTACTCCGTGCCCTGTCTGATGAAGGCCAGTGAACCAAAAGCCTTCTTCCCTGCCCTATCTACCTGTGACTCTACTCTCAGAGAGCCGTGCACCTGAACTCCAAGGTCCCTCTCTTCCTTAAGGCCCTCCCATTCGCCTGAAACTCCTACCTGGATTTGACTTTCCAAAATGCAATACCTCATAGTTATCTATATTAAACTCCATTTGCCATCTTTTGGCCCACTTACCCAGCTGATCAAGATCCTGTTGCAATTTCTGATGACCTTCCTCACTGTCCACAATACTGCCTGTTTTAGTTTCAGTTGCAAACTTAATAATTATTGCCTTGTACATTCTCATCGAAATCATTGATCTAGATAACAAACAGCAATGGGCCCAGTACCGAACATTGAGGCACACCACTAGTCACAGGTGTCCAGTCCGACAAGCATCCTTCCACTATTACCCTCTGCATCCTACCATCAAGCCAATTCTGTATCCAATCTGCCAGCTCTTCCTGGATTCTGTGTGATCTAACCTTCCAGAGCAGCCTACCATGTGGAACCTTATCAAAGGCCTTACTGAAATTCATACAGACTACATCTACCGCCCTGTCCCTCATCAACCTTCCTGGTCACCTTGTCAAATAAATTTGTTAGAATTCTAAGGCATGATCTCCCACACACAAAGCCATGCTGACTACTCCTAATCAAAGCTTGTCTTTCCAAATGCATGTGGATCTTATCCCTCAGAATCTTCTCACGCAACTTAGCTAAACCAAAAGAACTGCGGACGCTGTAAATCAGGAACAAACACAAAGCTGCTCGAAAAGCTCAGGAGATCTAGCAGCATCAGAACAGAGGAAGGGTCACCGGACCCGAAATGTTAATTCTGTGTTTTCCTTCACAGATGCTGCCAGACCTGCTGAGCTTTTCCAGCAGCTTTGTTTTTGTAGCTACCAAGATGTTAAGCTTTAGGACTCAATCAGTAAAATTTGCACAGAAGCTTGCAAGGGGCTTTATATCCCCGTTGAGAGCTCAAGGGTTACATTTGGCCTGTTGGACACTTCTGTTTTAGGGTATATTCTTTGAAAATGCTTCCTAATAATACTGTGCTCTTATATGAACTCCAACTCTATTAAAGGTATGTAAATGTTTACCAATTACTTATTCTGTACAATGAATTTGATTGAAATATGTGGTATGAGTCCCAAACTGCAGTTACATTTTTTGTGAATAATATTGAATAACAACTGATCATATTTTTTTAATGTGATTTGTTACCAGGTGGTTCCATCAAGGACCCAACCCCTACACTGGTGCATCAGACTGGCTGTACTCAGGAGGCTATTGGGATAGGAATTATCCCCACTGCAGTGATATTTATTAAGTCAGATGGGAGAAATAGCCAGCCAGCACTTCTGACTGCTATGTGCAAATTTCAGGGCATAGATTATTTTGTGATGTTTTCAAAAAAAAACAGCAAAACCTCAACCAATGTAAATTTATTTCTGTTTGGTCTCTTCTAATAAGAAAGTTCTTTGAGAGCTTTCATGTTAAATACTGCCAAGAATGTATGATATAAGCCTCTTAATTAGAATATCACTTTGATAAACATATTTTTTCTCTCTTCCATTTGTTGCACATTTGTTGAAACCTTTTTTGGAAGTGCTCAACAATGGAACTCTTTACCCACCTCTGGCCATTTACTTGTAAGGCAGTAGTGGGCATAAAACCAGGCCATTGTATTCCTTAAGATGGTTGATGGTACGGCACTAAGCTAAGCAATTTGCACTGGAAATAAGTGGGGATAACACCAGCAGTTGAATTCCTACAAAGCATTTATTGTACAGCACTAAGATAAGCTATTTCTACGTAATCATGCTATCCTTAATTTATCTGTTTCTCAAAAAACTAATCATTTATCACTGTTACAGTATTTTAAACTATAAGCAAGTTTTGTTTAGACCCATTATAGAACTCGATAAGAATTGTGCCTATAACATGACAATTTCTATCTATGCTGTTTTATAAACAGTCTTTGGCCCCATTCAAATCCATAGGAATTGCATAAGGTATCCATTAGTTGAAAATATATTTCTATGCACTTTGTATCCTTAGAGTATATGTTCACTTTCAATTTCAGGTTACCACTGAGCAGAAATATCTCTGTCAGAAATGTGTTTAGAAGGAGTGTTTTGACTCTTATGCAACATATTTCATCCTATTAGTGTCATTGGTGATCTTAATACCAGGTTTTTTGTTTTGTCTATTTAATGTGTGTCTGTGTTGCATTTGACTTGTGTGTTTTCTTCACGTGATTGGTTTTGTTCAGGAGTTTGAAAGCCACAGCTAGCTTTGTGAACCTTGTTTGGAAAAACTGTATAGCTAAAAGTGTAAAGCAAATTGTGTAATTATTTGTACAGTACATCAGAGGTTTAGTTCAAGAAATCTGGAAATTTTTAAAAAAATAGGTTGACTATATTAAAGTTGCAATATTTGAAGTTGTGATCAGCTGTACTAACAGTTTACCAATTGTGAAAAACACTTCCATTGTAAATACAGAATTCTAGTCACTTAAGATTTGTAATTTATCTGGCCTTTGCAAAATTATATTAACTGATTAATTATTAACTGTTTTCTACTCTGGGTATGACACTTGCCGCTCTGTACCAACTGCTACTGGCAATGGGAGTAGTTTTCTGTTCATGTGTGTAAGCTTCAAATGTGAAAATACCGGAATTCATTAATTAAATTCTCGTGAATCTTAAATGCATTTAAATCATATTTTGCAATTATGATGCAATTTGAAATTATTTTGGATTCAGTTAAACTCCTGATTGGATTGAAAGCACATTTGGTATTTCACTGTTTCCAGTCAGAATGTCTTCATCTCTTAATTTCTCCAAAGCTTCAATTTGAAATCCTTCTCTTACATCTTATCTCTGCTGTTACCAATTGTCAATGGTGGTGTGTGTATTGCACAGAACTTAAAAATAAGTATGTATTTTGAGGTATATATTGCATATCTTAGAAGTAATGGAAGAGCAACACTAAGTTAGATTTTTAATACGGATTTGTCATTTAATAAAGAATACTGAATGTAATATTGCTGCTAAATAAAGGCTTTACAAAATGTATAGATATAAATCATTGTCTTTGTATAATATTCAAGTACCATGATAGAAGAGAGGATAAAATGTTCTGTAGTGAGCTTATCAGCTGCCTAGATCATTGCCACTGCACACCTATGATATTGCAGGAGTTGGTGATTTTGGAGTGTTGAAGCCTCCTAGCCAACTTGGACATATGCTACACTCAGACTACTTTCCTTTTAGGTATTTTATTAACTAACAACCTCATACAGATGGTGAAAATAACAAATGCTGGCGATCACAGCAGGTCAGGTAGCATCCATGGAGAGAGAATAAGCTAACGTTTCGAGTCTGTTCATGGACGCTGCCTGAACTGCTCTGACGTCCAGTATTTGTTGTTTTCAGTACAGATTTCAGGATTTGCACTAATTTACTCTTACTCATACTGATGGTGTTGCTGGGTAGCAACATCCATAATATGATAAATTATGAATTGGAAAGGAAAGAGGAATTCTGGGAAAATCAGGATCACCATGGAGATGTGGGCTTCCAAGTGGCTGGGTCCTGATGGACTTCATCCTAGGGTCTTTTGGAGTTAGGCTATGGGATGTAGGAGCAGAAGCAGGCCTTTCAGCCATCAAGTAGGCCAGGAAGATAATGTTTAAGAAAGTACAAGGGATACTTGCCTTTATTAGCTGAGGCTTAGAATTGATTGATTTTATTGTCACATGTACTCAAATACAGTGAAAAGCTTTGTTTACGAGCGGTACAGCACAGCAAGCGAAGGATATACAGACCAAAAAGACTTGGAGGCATGCAGGTTACATTACAGGTTACATTATTTGAGGCTAGAGTCCATTCAACAGTCCAATAACAGCCAGGAAGAAGCTGCTCCTGAACCTGCTTGTGCGTGCGTTCAGACTTCTGTATCTTCTGCCTGACGTAAGAAGTTGTAGGAGCTCATTATCAGGGTGCAATGGGTCTTTGATGAGGTTGGTTGCCTTTCCGCAGCAGCGAGTCATGTAAATAGAGTCTATGGATGGAAGGTTGTCTTCCGTGATGGTCTGGGCTGTGCAAACCACCTTTTGTAGTTTCTTACGGTCCAGGGCAGAGCAGTTGCCATACCAGGCTGTTATACACTCGGACAGTATGCTTTCAATGGTGCATCTGTAGAAGTTGGTGAGGGACCTTTATAGACATGCCAAATTTCCTGAGCTGTGAGAGGAAGAAGAGGCATTGTTGTGCCTTCTTGACTGTTACATCTATGTGGGAAGTCCAGGACAGGTCGTCAGTAATTGTCACTCTGAGGAGCTTGATGCTCTTCACTCTCTCAACCTCAGTTCCATTGATGTAAATGGGGGCGTGTTCTCTTCCTTTCTTTCTGAAGTCAATGATGAGTTCTTTAGTTTTGCCAACATTGAGAAACAGATTGTTTTCATTGCTCCATGTCACCAAGCATTCTATCTCCCTTCTGTATTTTGACTCGTCGTTCTTAGATATCCGTCTCACTACGGTGGTGTCGTCAGCGAACTTGTAGATGGCCAAATTCTGAATGAATGCAACACAGTTGTGGATGTACAGGGAGCATAGTAGGGGGCTGAGAACGCATCCTTAGGGGGCTCCAGTGTTGACTGTTATTGTGGAGGAAGTGCAGTTACCTATCCTCATTGATTGCGGTCTGTGGGTCAGGAAACTGAAGATCCAGTTGCAGAAAGCAGACCCAAGAGCAAGATCATGGAGTTTTGAGATCAGTCTGGAGGGACTAATGGTGTTGAAGGCAGAGCTGTAGTCACTGAGGAGGAGTCTGACGTAGGTGTTTTTGTTGTCCAGATGTTCCAGGGATTGAGTGCAGGGCGAGGGATATGGCATTCTCTGTGGACCTGTTTATGTCGGTAGGCAAACTGTAGGGGATCGAGGCAGGTTGGGAGACTGGGAGTTGCTGTGGGCCATGACTGGCCTTGTCGAAGCACTTCATGATTATTGAAGTTAGAGCTATTGGGTGGTAATCAATAAGCCTTATCAAATGTGTCTCTTGAATTTCACAGACTTTAAAGAAAGTTTCATTACTTTATTTTGTGCTTGATATCATGTTGACCTCTTATGATGGAATTTGTTAGCCATTGCTTTGATCCCACATGACAGAAAAATATCTGAAACTTGTCCTTGTAGCTGTTCCATCTTTTTAATATCACTTGGACTTTCTGTGATTACAGACGAAGTGATAACTTGCACTCTGGCTAAATCAATACCTACACGTAAGTCAACTCCATTCAAGTAATTTCTGAACAACTCCCACTACTGTTCCAGACATCATCACATTCTACTTTGTACAAAGGAATGGGAACGTACTCAATTTATCCTGTTCATTAAAACTTTGGCTTTCAATGCACCCTGGAGAAAGTTTTCAGCATTTTCTGTCAAACTGGTTTTGTAGCTCCTGAATCCCTTAATGTTTTTAGCTGTATGATTTGAAGAAAAATGTTTTTTTAATTCATTCATGGCATGCAGCAGCATTTATTGCCCATTCATGGTTGCCCTTGTGGGGAGCTGCCTTCTTTAACTGCTTTGTCCACTTCCGAATGGTTTGATGTTTCAGTTGGTGGTAGTGTTCTCGTTTATCTACTGTCCTTGTATTTCTGTGTAGTAATGGCTGATGACTAGATGAGTTATTACAGTGCATCTTGTATATGGTACATACTGCTACTATTTTGTGTTGGTGGTGGAGGAAGTGAATGTGTGGATGTGGTGCCAATCAAGCAGGCTGCTTTGTCCTGGAAGTTGTCAAGCTGCTTGAGTGTTGTTAGAGCTGCACCCATTCAAGCAAGTGGGGAGTATTCGATCAGATTCCTGACTCTGCCTTATAGATTGTGGACAGGCTTTATGGGGGCAGGAGATGAGTTACACATTGCTGAATTCCTAGCCTCTGACCTGCTCTTTAAAGACTTTTTTTTTGTGTAGTTCAGTTGCTTCCTGATGGTAATTTTCAGGATTCTCAGCTTGGATATTGTCCAGGGATTGCTGAATTTTGACATGGATTATTCTTGATGGCCTGGCGTGGCCTTCCATCCTGGATGATTCCAGAGCAGTCTCCTGGCCTCGAGGTGAAGCCAGCGTTGTCTGGAGTCAAGGCCCAGCACAGACTAGAAACCAGATGCCGTCATGGACTGTGTTGGAAGAACTGTTATTCTGAACTTTTTAACTTTTTTTTCTAATTTATTCTTATGGTCTGTAATGTTGGACATTTTATTTCTTTATTTTTCTAATTTTGTTTTCCCCTAAGCATTTGACGTTAAGAATATATACCTGGGTACCTTTGTCCCTGAGATGTTGCTGTAAATGACCACTTGTAAGCTTTTCACTGTACTCATTTGAGTATATGACAATAAACCTAATTCTAATTCATATTCAAGGAGTCATGAAAAGTGCTTAACATCATCCAGTCATTAACAAATGTCAGCAGTTCTGACCTTATGAAAGGTCATTGAGTTAACTGAAGATGGTTGCATCTGGGCCGCTACCTTGATGAGCTCTGACGGTAATATTCTGGAATTGCCATGATTTACCTCCAAAACGACAACCATCTCTGTTTGTGCCAGGTATGACTCCAACAAGCAGAAGAATATTCTCCCCATTCCCATCAGTTTTGCTATTGATCTTTGATGCTACAGAAAGACAAATACAGCCTTGACATCAAGGGCAATCACTCTCACTTCACTTCTGGAATTCAGCTCTTTTGTCTATGTTTTAACCAAGACCATAATGAGGACGAGAACTCGGTGGCTATGGTGGAAAAACTATGTGGAGGTGAGCAAATTATTTATCTGTTTTATACATTCATTGGATGTAGGTGTCGCTACCAAGGCCAGCATTTATCATTTACCCAGAGGGCAATTAAGAGTCAATGGTATTGCTGTAGGCCTGGAGTCACATGTAGGCCAAGTAAGAACAGCAGATTTTCTTCCTTAAAGAGCATTAGGTTGATTTTTACAACAATTAATAGTAGCCATTAGGCCAGATTTTTATTGAATTCACCATCTGCAATGAACATTAACCTGGGATTCTGGATTTCTTATCCAGTGACATTACTCCTACACCACCACTAAGTAAGTGGTGCATGATAATGCTGTTGAATACCCCTTTCTCTTTACCTTGCTGCTGATCAGCTGGATTGATGGAGTGGTAATTAGCCATGTTGGATTTGTCCTGCCTTTTATACACAGGACGTTTCCAAACAATTTTTCACACATTTGGTTGATGCCAGTGTTATGGCTGTAATTTAATGCTATTAAGAGTTCTGCCATTTACTGTATACTTCCCTCCTGCATTAGACCTTCCAAAATGCATCACCTGACATTTGTCCAGATTAAATTCCATCTGCCATTTCTCTGCCCTACTCACCAGCCTATCTAGATCCTGCTGTATCCAATGGCAATCCTCTTCACTATCTGCACCTCCCCCAATCTTTGTGTTGTCCTTACATTTTCTAATCAGGCCATCTACTTTCTCCTCCCAATCATTTTTAAACAACAAGGGTCCCAGTATTGATCCCTGCGGAATACCACTGGTCACAGATCTCCAGTCAGAAAAATACCCTTCCACCATTACTCTGTCTACTATGACCCAGCCAGTTCTGTATCCATCTTACTAGCTCACCATGAACCCCATGTGACTTCACCTTCTGTATCAGCCTGCCATTAGGACCGAGTCAAAGGCCTTGCTGAAGTACAGGTCGACAGCATCCATTTCCCTGCCCTTAGGGAAACCGAGGCCCTGTAGTTTACTACGCTTATGGTGGCTGCAACCTTCATCAGTAGCTCATACAGCACAGTGAATTGGTATACCTGTACAGCACTAACCATAAATCAAATCCTGAAGGACGTGAATGCCTCCCAAAAGAAAACACCCAGATAACATACCTCTCTTCAATGCATCATAGTGTCTGAAGCTTTGACTAGTGCAGTGACTGCCATGGATACAGGGATCCACCAGCTCCCACATGCTACAGTTGCAACACATTGCCTGCCTTGCCATCAAAATTGCATTTT